AGGTATTTATTGTGTAAATTGTTCACACAAAAATGTCTTTTTACATTATTTATCTCGCGAAAATAAATGCATTTATTAGCACTCAAACAACAAAAAATATCCTTTTTAATCATAAAGAAAATGTATCAACAACAAGCTGACCATGCACTATCCAAACTGAGCTAGAGGCAGGGCCTACACCATACATTACTTCATAGTATGGATTCAGGTTCGGATAACAGGCTGCAGGATGACGGAGTTTGTAGCACAGTTGCCTTGCAGCAAGGAAATTAACTAAATGTCTGGGTTCGATTTCCAGCCCGGGGTCTTTCTGCATGGAGTTTGCATGTTCTGCTTGCGCATGAATGGATTATCTCCAGGTACTATGGATTCCTACCACAGTCCAAATAACATGACTGTTAATTGACATCTAAATTGTCCTGAGTGTGTGCATGGTTGTATGTCTTTGTGTGTTTCTGTGTTGCCCTGAGACAGAATAGCGACCTGTCCAGGGTGTACCCTGCCTCCCCTCCATAGCCTGCTGGACATCGGCACCGGCCTCAATCTGACCCTGATAGTATAGGTGGGAGAAGGTGGTTAGATGGTTTGGATTATCTTAGTTCAATGTTTTTTGTTGTTTAGCATTTTATTTGCTGTCACCCTGTATCATTTAAAAGAGATCCAGAACTGTGCTTGTTTGACTCTGCCCAGAACTTTCTATTGTCTAATTCTCATCTAGTACTGATGGGTTTATCTGTATGCTTTGCCCAGATTTGGCTTTGCATCAACATGTTGCTGGGTTCATTTCTGCTGTAGCTCCATTTTTTTACTCATTTTTTTACGTTTTCTTCAAGCACATCTGCATGCACCATGAGTCCTCCATGGTGGTGAGCTGACCAGGTCTGACTGCAGTAAAGTATCCCAAAACCACCACACATCATGCCTTACAGACAGTATCAGGTTCTTTTCTTAGACTGCATCCAATATTTCATACATTATCTTTGGCAGTTGGACTCAAAATCTTCAGTTTTACTATGAGAGCAAACATTTCCTCCTTTTACACTTCCTATAAAAGGTCAAGTTGTTGAGGCTGCTTTCTGATTGTGCTGATATGCAGTTTTGCATAAACTCTGACATAAATTTCAAGTTGAACACACATAGCAAAAGCAATAGGCTGCTTTAGGCCCATTGGTGACCTTTTAGGCTTTTTCCTTTAGCATCTTGCAATCCGCTCTTTGTGTGAATTATCTTGGAAGGCCTAACTAATAGTGTTGAAGGTTTTTTAAAGGTCCTTAGTTTGTATAATACTGTCCATAGAGTATTCCCCTGCATGGATGGTAAGAAAAATGTTCTTCTATCTCTTTAACCCTCTTTACAGATTTATATTTGTGTCAAGATGTTTAGTTCACCAAACTAACCATCTTAGGTTTAATTGGGGCAAACCTTCTGCCAAACACTGACTAAAGATGTTCTTACAATGAACAACTCATGTGATTTGTATAATTTAGCTTTTTAAACTAGACATGAGGGGGTGCACTTAGTTATTTCTAACTTAAAACTTCATTTTTATTAACACTTTATGGAGTTTTATTAGGTACTTTCTTTGCTTTTAATTTCAAGCCAATAAAGGTCAAGACAGGAAGCGTTGGATTTCACTGGCCAGTGAAGTGGGTCTAGTCATGTAATGCTGAAGAGGATGAGTCTGACAAATGGCCCTAAGAAAATCAAATCTCTCACAGTCTCTGTTTTAATACAAATAATCATATTAGATAGAATTGTTACATTTACCTCCTCCTATCGCAGCTTTTTTTTAAATTGACGGAATCTGGGTTATTGTTAATTTAAAGAAAGGTCACTACAGGCTCCACATTTACCTCCTTGCTGCATTTAAAGCACAGTTAAAAAGCAAAATTATTGACTTGTTTGTTTAAATTGAGATATTCCTTTTGATTGTTTCCAAAGTGCAGTATTACAGCGTACAGTCTTTGCTGAACTAACGAATCCCTCTACTTGTTTCAAAGAGGATTAGAGCTCCTGCTTAGCTTAGTTACCTCAGATTGGGATAAAGGTTAGGAGAGGGCTGTTGTCTACATCCGCCATCTGTCTGTCCAGTAGACAGTGAGGAGCTGGCACTGTTGCCAATGGAGACCAGGCTCGAGCTGGATGTTTTGATATACCCAGACGAGGTGAGGGTGGCCACCCCAGAGGATCTCAAGGAGTGGGAGCTTGAGACAGCGAGCCAGGTGTCCATCGCCACCGTTCGACTCTTTGTGGCGCTTTACCCTTACAACCCTGCCGCCATGTCTCCCAACCTGGACACGGCTGCAGAGGAGCTGCCCTTTGTGCCGGGTCAGATCATCAAGGTAACCACACTTCAGCATCTCAAAAGCTTTATACCTCAGCGATTCTCTAAAACATGTTGTGCTTCCTCATTTTTAATCTGCTGAGAAGTTTCTTTGAAATTACACGCTGCTGTTTCCTGTTTGTGCAGGCCTGCTGAACATGTAGAGACGAACTCTTCTTTTGATTTCCTGTAACTGTTTTTTTTTGCAGCTCATTTATGTGATTTGCCGCCTTTTTGACTCAGACTGCTGCAAACCCCCGGCACCACCCACACACACACACACACACACACACACACACAAAAGTTTACATTTCTACCCATGTTAAGTCTTTACCTTGACTGACATTTGTGTAAGTTACTGTATTTATTTCTAACCCTGACATTTACCGTAACCATTATCATGAAGTATGTTCCTAACCCTAATCTCAACCTCAAGTTAATTCACAACATGTCTCTAAACCGACCCTTTAAAATGAAATATGGGGTTCCACCACATTAGGACCAGACTTTGGTCTCCATAAGGCCCGTCGGTCTTCAGAAGGTTAGTAAATATAGCAGAAAAGATCCTATACTCTATAGGTAACATTAAGAGCTACACTCTATATATACACACCCACCCTACACAGATTCTATTCAGATCTACTGTCACCCACCCTGCTTTTAGCCTTATTGTTAGACTTTGAGCTCCTTCCTGAAATAAATTTACCCTTTCTTCTTATGCCTAAGCTGACAAATTATGTTCCATCACATTTGCACCAGGTTTTGGTCACCATAAGCCTTTTTGTTAATAGGAAGGTAAATTAAGACCAAGCTGATATACTGGGCTGCACGGTGGTGCAGTTTGTAGCACTGTTACCTTTCAATAAGAAGGTTCTAGGTTTGGTTCCCAGCCTGTGTCTTTATGTCTTTATGCATGAAGTTTGCATGTGCTCCCTGTGCATGTGTGGTTCCCTCTGGCTTTCTCCCATAACCCAAAAACATGAATATGAGGTTTTTAGCTTCTCTATATTGTCCTTGGTGTGAGTCTGCATGGTTGGATGTCTTTGTGTTGCCCTGTAACAGGCTGGTGACTTGTCCAGGGTGTACCCCAACTCTCGCCCACTGCCTGATATAGGCACAGGCCCCACAATGACTGTGATGAAATAAGCGGGAGAAGATGGATGGATGATTCATACTGCTGGCAGATTTAGATTTGAAATTTGCAGAGCTGGATAATCCAGGTCCTGAAAGTAAAAACAGTTTAGGGAGATTAGTTCCAACATTTCTCTGTAACACAGACTTGGGGCCAGTCACCTGGTTAACTTAACAAGATAAAGAAAACTTGGCAGGGCCTTTACTTTCTGGACCTGGAAATGAGGTTAATTCAACCAAGAGACTTTATTTCCGACTGCAAATGAGTCGCACATCCGTAAAACTCCACCCAAAAAACTTTACAAGTGCTAAAACCTTCAGTTGCTTTAAGCCAACATAAAAACAGATTTTGTTTAATTTTGAGATGGTCTGTGACAATCTAAACATTTTTACGTTTGCAGTCAAACTTTTCTTTCATTTAGTGTCATATTTTATTTTATTATTTACATATTTTGATTGTTCATTTTTATTCTCTTTAACTATCCATGTTTATAAATTATTTAAATTACCTTTATGCAAATGCATAAATGCACTTTTCCTATTAAGTTCCTTTTCTCCTTTCTTGCTACTAAAAAAATATACTTTAATTGGTTTGCCTCAATAAAAAAAAAAAAAAAAAATTTAAGAGGAGTATCAATTTTGAAAAATAAATCTATTTATATTTGAATGAGAAGAAAAAAATCGCATGTAAAAAACGTATTTTATGATTTAACTGATATTTTGACCTTTATCAGGCCTCTTATATGCCAAACTTAATAGTTTCTACCAGGTGTGGTTCGGGGTTCTGGCTCTTGTTTTGTACATGCCACAACTTTACGATAAAGAGAAACATGTTTTTAAAAAAGCAAATAAAATAAAAAATACACACAACGATGTTCCACCACATCACATACTTTAGAGGGCTAGTGATTATACCAGAGAGGGCTCAAAGGAGGAAATATACATGGATATAGATGCGCCATTTGTTTTCTCGTTAGGTATTTGGAGATAAGGACCCTGATGGCTTCTACCATGGAGAATCTGGTGGTCTCTCTGGTTATGTGCCAAGCAACATGGTGGCTGAAATCCCAGTGGATGACGAGTACCTGAAGCACGTTCTGATGCAGCAGGGTTTCCTGCCTGTGGATCATGCAGGTACCACCTCCTAGTTGTCATCAGAATATTGTTTTGTGATTTACTGACAAAAAAATATATATATATTGAGGAAATGAACCCATATCAGCTAAATCTTTTTCTATACTAAACAGTCGTTATGGTTAAGATGGTAAAAGAGATTTCATTAGAGCTAAACAATACCTTTTTTTTTCTTGGATCTCTTTTGCGATTTTGAAATAATTTAACGTCTTATGTTTTTGGGTCTTTCAGGCAGGTTTAACTTCGTTCTTTAAATATTAAAATATTTAATTTGTTTTTAATTTTGCATTTAGTTTAACAGTGTTTTTGCAATTTTGTACAAAGCAGGTATGGGTTTAACACCTGATCTGAGTGACACTGGCAGTATTCGTGAAGATGTGATCGTTCGAAGAATGGTGGCCTTATTTGACTATGATCCATGGGAAAATTCACCCAACATGGACAGTGATGTAAGCAGTCACACGCATTCCTTTTTAAAAATTCTATTTATCTTTTTTAAAGCCTATAATAGCTTTCCTTTGTCTCCAGGTCGAACTGGGTTTTCGAGCTGGAGACATCATTTATGTTTTGGGTGATATGGATCAAGACGGGTTTTACTATGTGAGTAGAAACTGTGTTGTTCCTCTGTGACTCATTTATGATTTAATATCTGCATACACGCTCACATTTCTCCTTTTTTCTAAAGGGAGACCTTCATGGAAGACGAGGTTTGGTTCCCTCAAACTTTCTACAGCCCTTACCCTGGAACTAGACGCCGAGCTTACACATCTGCTACTAATGCCAAGTCTCCGACACAATCGAATCTGCAGCTTTGAGGAAATGTTAATATGTGTCAAAAATTTGTATATTTTTAATTTTTTATAGCAGCGTGGCACGCTATCAGGTGTAGCTGGCCTTTAAACGAGGACGAACAGCTCTTCATTATCAATCAAGATAAGGAACAGTGAAAAGAAATAGTCAGTTTATAGAAAAAGGTTATTTATTAATAATTTTAAAGAAAGAAAATGCCACTCACATTATGAATACAGTAAAAACAAATTACAAACCATGTTTTATTTATTCAAGAATGTATTACCTTTTTGTAATCAAACAACATTTGTATTTCCAGGGAATTTACTTGATGTTTTTCAGGTAACTTCAGTTATAGCCTTAAGGATACACTTTTAGTCTCCGCTTGGTGCAGACCAGAGTGTATAAATATAGTTTGCCTTATGATAATGTGTTTATTTGCTTTCTGTAACATGCTCATCTCTAATGCAGGAGGTATTAAATAAAAAAGATGTAACTTTAATGCAGGAAAGTTAATAGTAAAGCAAGACAGACCTTTAATGTAGTAAAAGGCATTTTTCCAATAAAAGTCGACAATATTAACGGTTATCTGTTGGTTATTACAATATTCTGGAAACAAGATGAAGAAATAAGGTTAAATCAAACATTTGAACTTTAACACCATCCAGCTTGGGTCTTCTTTCACTCTCCTCTGCAGCTAACAGTATACTCATCCATAAAGTAGGAAACACTACACTGTGTAGAGAAGTTTAGTAGTGCTTTCTACTTTATGGGTGACAACACTGTATATCAGTGGCTTCCGGGTGCTTGGCTCGAACACTGAAGAACGACGGCTTAAGTGAAGGTACAAAACTTCAACATCAACTTTATAGCCCAAAAAAAAAACATTGAGGTTTAATATAAAATTAATTAATGACAAAACTCAAAACAATTCCAACCAGCAGTTAACAGATTAATGTACAAAGTCACTTGTCGTGAAGATCTTACCAGTTTGGACGCCGGAGAAGAGAGAAACCCAGAAGTGAGCTTCATCTTTTTATTAACCCTGTCTGAGACACGTGGTTACAACAGGAAAAGCTCACACACACACACACACACACACACCCACACACACACATTTGTGGTTAGCACGCTCAAATGTGTGAACATATCCTCAAAGATAAACTAAAAGTTAATTGCCAAAAAAAGCTACATTTTTACCACTAATCTTTATTTTTTAGGGTTTTTTTAACCTGGGTCTGATGAAGTTTCAGACACTAATATATTGGTTGTCGTCCATTTTTAAATTTCTTCATATAATCAAAAGACATTAGATTAGAAAAGTTAGATTTCCTTTTATAATCTAGAAAAGTCTTGTAGTCAATTTATTCAAACTATAGGTCTTTTTGTCAGTTTTAATATTACAGAAGACTCGCTCATGCATAGATGAGGATGCAAATTCAAAATCTAAACCCATGAAGCATCAACAAAATGCATCACTGCTGCAGCTGCATGCAGTTTTATTGAAGTTAAGAAAATAAAACGAAGAGATGAAGCCTCCATTTGCGGTAAATCTGCAGCAAATTGCTTAAAGATCTTAATTCATGTGAAACGATCAAAACAAGAGAGCTCAAGTAAAAAGATGAAAATGGGAGTTCAGCTGTGCAGGTGCCACATTTTGTGTTTTAGATTACAGGAAGGTCTTCATATCTCTGTCATTTTTCTGAGAACTTGCTCTCGCCTGCTTGTGACAAGGTGTGGGTGGGGGATGGTGTTGCAGAGGCTTCCCCATCCCAGTGAGACAGTGCGCTCTGCAAGTGCTTGCAACAACAGAAACTTTGCAAACGGAGCAGGGATGGCCTGTGTCCTCCGTTGTCACAACAACCTAAAACCTCAAAGTCACACCAAGACAAATAAGAGGAAGTGGGGGATGGGCGGCAAACTCAAACCGAGAAAAGATGGCCTCGTTACTGAAGTTAAAAGGTTAGAAGAAGCAAGCTGTGATACTAAACATAATTAAAGTGCATGAACCAAGAATCAATTTAACACAACTTAGAGCCAAAAGGGCAAACACAGAAGCAAAAATGTGTTTCCGTTAGATAAAAGGTGCATCTGTGTGTTCAGAATCAACCCGGGTAGGGGAGCATGACTGCGCAGCCTGCAGATTATGTCAGCACTGTTGCACCCAGAGCTCTGCTTGCATCACACATCTATTCCTGTGCAACATGGGACTGCATCCAGAAAGATCCCTGCAGTGACTTACAGGACATGGATAGCCTTAGGGTGCAGCATTCAATCACATCATCCAGACAAACTGGATTAATTTCATTACTTTAAAAGGTTTCACATTGATATTATTTGATACAAATTGAACAGAGTATTAATAATTTCATTGAGTCAGTGAAAGCTTTAAATATCTAGGACCTGAGATCTTTGCAAATGAGCCAGCACAACTGGAGTTGTTAAATGCATGTAGGTCTGAACTTTGACTAGGCCATTTTAATTCATAAATATGGTTTGGTGTCCAGCTAAAGATGTAAATCATTCCACTGCAGCTCCATCCCATCTTCCCATCAACCTAGACCAGCTTTCATGCTCTTTCTGTAGAAAAGTATAACCACAGTGTGATGTTGCCTCCACCATATTTTGTTTTTCTTTTGTTTTTGTTGTGTCACATAAAACATTGGGGAAAATCATGCCTAGTTTTCCCTCCGCTTTACAATTACGCAATCCACATAAACCACAATAAAACTGTGATGTGACAAATTTTGAATCTTTCACAAGCAATATAACTAGTTTTTTTTTCTTCAAGATTTCAGTAAGTTGATCCCCTAAAATAATTAATAAACATTATATTAAACTGAAACGTTCCTTACAGCACAATAGATTATGTTGATTTTTACAAAAAATATTTACATTAAATCTTAATACCCGAAAGAAACAAAAAACTAATCAGTACTCTTATGCTGCTCCATTTTAAGCTCTGTGTAGAGATTTCAGCCTTTATAAACACATAAAAAAAACATTGGCACTATATTTATTGGTGAATTGCTGCCATCTAGTGGCTGTAGAGAGAACTGCGAGGAGAAATCCT